GCGCGGGCCAGTGGCCGCGACAACCTCGTTGAGAGCGGGGCCCTGTGGCTCGCCGATTTCAGCTTAGAATCGGTAGGTTTGAGGTGTAGTAGGCCGGATGCGTTAGGCGCAGTGCAGCACAAGCACGTTGGGCGCGCGCAAGGCGACTACAACCTCATAGGGGCGGCTTTCTGCGCATCACTCCAGGACCTTGGTCTGAGGGGCGCGGAAGAGCTGTGCACCGCTGCAGTTGAAAGCTTTTCAGCCACTGCGGGTGCGGATAGCGCCGCGGCTGCACCACAGCCCTCTCCAGTCATTCCCCTCCCGGACGTGCGCTCGGGCGAGGACCTCACGCCAGCAGAGCGTGCGGAGCTGGATAAGGAGGTGGATAAGTACGCCGCTGAGAAGGAAGCGTTTTGGCGAACCAAGGCGGACGCCAAGGACTGGGATTCCGTCCGGGCTGACCTTGAGGTCTATGCTCTTGCGGGCGAGAAGGTCGCGGAGGATCCTAGGCGCACCGAGGCCTATAGAGACCTCGTATGGTCGGGTTTGAAGATCGAGCCTGGACCAACCAGACCAGGGCTGACCGATGCTGACATCGCAGCCGTCAGGGAGGTCATACGGCGAAAGGCCGCTGGGTTCTGGGTGGAGGACACCACCAGGACCACGGTCAGGAAGTTCGCCCATGACTGCATCCCCACCGGGCCGCCGGTCTCGTCCCAGCCTCACAGTCTGAGGGGCGAGTCCGCGCAATGGGTCGACGACAAGCTTGAAGAAGAATGCAAGCGGGGTCAGTTGATCCGCGGCAGCTCGGCTTGGGGATCTGCGCCGTTTCCGACCAAGGAAATGCCCAGCTACAAGCGGCATAGGAAGCGACGCTTGGTGGTTGACTACCGCCGTGTGAATGCCCGAATTAAGCGCTCCACGTACTATTGTCGGCGGGGTAGCGATGTGCTCGCCGCCGCAGTAGGTTCGGTTTGGTATACCTTCGTGGATGCGGTTAGTGGGTTTAATCAAATTAGGAACACCAAGCGTGCTCGCGAGGTGTTGGCCATTGTGGCAAGATCAGGGAAATATCTCCCTGTCGGCCTCACCTTTGGCCCGATTAACGGCCCAGATGATTTCAACTTTGTGGTTGATAGGGCCTATGCCCCCGGCAGAGGTAGGCGCCTTAAGTATACTAAGGAGTGGATAGCCTACGTGGATGATCTTACTGTTAGGACGGGTAGGGTCATTGATGGGCAGTTTTTCACTGATGCCCAAGCCGAGGGGGCGGTGCGCGAAGCGTGCGCCAAAGGGGCAGTCGCAGCTCCGCAGAGCGCGTCGTCTGCTCTTGAAGCCTTAGGCGTTCGCGGTGCGCACAACACCAAGCGCGCGAACCATGACGCGGCGCGCTCAGACCAGAATCACCCCACGCGCGTTCTGATGCTCAGGATGTTGGGGCTGTTCGGGTGTTTCTGTGTTCAGGGCGGGTGTTTTTGGGGCGGGCCGTTTCCCAGGTCGCCGGTCTGCGGGCAGAAGGATTTCTCGTCGTTCGTCGCGTGCGGCTTCGTTCCTCTGTCTCGCAGCCAGTGTTTTGCAAGCAGGCCTAGAGGTTCGGTCCAAGGTCGAAGCAGAAGCCTTAGAAGCCTTAGAGCCCAGACCTTAAGGAAACTCCCCAAACCCACGCCGCAGCGGTTCAAGTGTGTTGTAGAACCTAGGGTAGGTAGTCCCTCTCCGCGTTCGTGCCTGCGCACTGCGCCCCGCTGCGGGTCGCGACCAGACCGCGCGGGAGCGACCGATCGGTCGCCCGGACCTTCGTGGTCAACCACAAGGCCCCGCTGCGGGCCGTGCCCTGGCCGCGCGGGAGCGGCTGCCTACCACTACTGCACACCGGCCCCTTGCAGCGGGCCGTGTCCTGGCCGCTCAAGGGCGCGTCAGGTTTTCCTCGCCCATCGGAGGTCCAGCAAAGCCGCGGGCCTCAGTGCCGCGATGGGTGGAGGAGGGTCGAAGGGCAGGGGCAAGAGCAAGAGTCCAGGCCCTAAGGGCCGAAAGGGCCCGCCCACGATCGACGACGTGCAGCGTATGCTAGTCCGATGCATGCGGCACGGCGAAGCTGGTTGTAGAGGCCGGTTCGCTCCGGGCGGCCTCTACCCGGTTGATGAGTTGATCGAACAACTCGGCATCACCATCAACCAGTACAACCAGGCGGTCGCGCACGACGCCAACCAGCGGAAACCGAGGTTGGATACCTCGTACGCTGGCTACTTGCGTGCCTTCCAAGGCCACTCGGCCGATTGCGGCCATCCTATGGGATTCATGATGGAGGGCCTAAGTGAGACCGCCATCAACGATCTTATATATCGGTATGGCCCGGCCATGTGGCACGGCACGGACTTGCATGTCGTGCCGAGCCTGATCGAGAATGGCTTGATCCCCTGCGGCGGGCCGGGAGGCCGCCTCGGGGTGCACTACGTCCTAGGGCACTGCCCCACGCAGTGGGAGGACGGGAGACGCGGGTTCCGCCGCGGATCGACTTGCATAGTCGAGGTCCGGTTGGCGGTCCTGCGGGTGCCTATCTATGCGGGAGCAGATGGGGTGGCTCTCACTGGCCAGATTAGAGCCACCGGCATCTCCCGCATCTGGGCACTCCCCAAAGGCTCAGCTGTTTACTCCATCTTAATAGCTGAGTTAGAAGTGGATCGGTTGATCCAGCATGTCGACCTAAGGAGTTTAGGCGACACCAGTGCGGGCCCCCACCCGCCGTTGGGGCGAGGACCGAAACTGGGCACGGTCCAAGCGTCCCAAGCTGCTGCGGCCAGCAGTGGCGCGGCGAGCTCCTCGACGGTTGTGCTGGCCCCTGCGGGCCGTGTCATGGCCGCGGGGGCCGCCCAACCTGTTACCCCTCCTAAGGCCGCGCCTAAGGCCAAAGGGCGTGCTTCAGGGGCTCCTAAGACTTCGAGCTTTCCAGCGAAGCCCAAGGAGTATCCTAGGCGCAACATCCCTGGCCCCAATGCCCTCGAGGCCGAAGACTCGCTCGAGGAAGAGGCAGCCCAAGAATTAGCTGAAGGTGTCGAGGAAGATAGTTCCAGCTCGGATCTTCCCGACACGCGGGCGCCCCAAGCCGCGGTCAAGGTGAAGGAGGACGAAGGGGCCCAGGCCGGGAGCATAGAGGAAGGAGTCCTCGAACTTGGCCAATCGGTGGTCAGCAGCGCGAAGGAGGACCTCGCGCGGTCCGAAGCTCTTCTGAGAGCGCAGAAACTCCAGTCGAGGATACTGGAGGTGGCGGGAACCGCGATGGTGAAGTTAGAAAAGATCACCAAGCGTGAGGAATCCCTCAAAACTCTGCGCCGTGGGGGAGAGAATCGGGCGGCCGGGGAAGGCGCCGACGGGGAAGAGGTGTCTGACGATGGTCAGGATGCCCCCGGGGGTGCGGGATCGAGCAGTTCCGCCAGGCCTTCAAGAGGCGGGACCGTCCGGTCCGCCCCGGCCCCAGAGGTGCCTCGCCCCAATGCTGACGGCCACTATGGATGCTCAGCTCCTGGATGCGGGCTGGCCTTTGAGTCGCTGGTGCAATACCACTTGCATCAGGCGGCCTGCCATGGCGCCTCTCTTCCGCCCAACCTGGGGATCAGCCCCTCCGCACCTCTTGACCCTTTTCGTCAAGACTGGCGGGGACGGTTGTTCCGCCGAGGAAAGGACGGTGGGTATGGGGAGGTGCCCATGCTCCGAGTGATTCGGTACCACAAAGCCAACGGGTACGATCACTCGAAGGTCCCGCTCCTGAAGAGAGGGGACCGAATCCAGCTTGAGGACGGATCGCACCACATTTATGGTGGTAGTCATCCACCGGGGTGGCTTCGCGATGACCCCGAGCTGGATCCCGCTCCAGAGAGTAGCGGTGGAGGGTCCACGCCCAAGAGCGAGCCCACGGAGGAGGCCGAGCATGGACCTCCGCGGGAGGCCGCTCCGCGCGGGCGGGCCCTCGGGCCGCCGACGAGCGACGTTCAGCAACGCCTTGCAGAGCGTCGTCGTTCCAAGCGGGATTACTCGCCAGACCTGGTGACGCCTCTTGACGATCTCCATGCCCAGGAGATCGATTCCTTCTTCGCGGGCGACCCAGCCGCGGATAGCCTTGACGTCATTTTGATGCGCGCCGAGGTTCGCACTGAGTCCCACCTCAACGTTGGCCGGGAGCAAGAAGAGCCCCTGGTCAAGGAGGAACAGGAGGAGGAAGCTGAGGTTGTCAAGGACGAGGAGGTCTCGGTTGAGATGGAGGCAGGCACCGCGGATGAGGCGGACGATGTCGCCCTCCCAGCCAACCGAGCCTACGTCGAAGGCCGCTTTTACCCCTACGGCAGCTGGCGGTGCTTCTTCTGCGAAGCCATCAACCCGGTTACCGAGGACCAGTGCCTCACCACGCACGCGGGCGGCCCGAAAGCGGGCGCCCCGTGCGACGGCCGATGGATCAACGGGATCGACATCGGGTGGTGGGAGGTAGACCCTCAAACCGCGCCCGAGCAATGGAGGCGGAGGTTTTCTGCCGAAGCGCTTGAAGACCAACAAGCGCGGGCGGATGCCGCGAGGCTTCTCAGCGATGAGGAACTCGCTGAAGCCCTCCAGGCGGCCGAGGAAGCGCAGGCGGCCGAGCGCGCCAAGAAGCGAGAGCGGCGCCAGGCGGAGAAGGCGGAGCGCGATGATCACATCAGCGAAGCGCTCCGCATTGCAGGGTGGCAGTGCCCTAACCTGCAAAGCCCTGGTCCTCAAAAAAACTGCTCGGAGCAGTTCCGGTATGGCATTTCCGCTCTTTCCGCTTAAAAACGCGCTGGTCCGAAAAAAACGAAAACCCAGGGAATATAGGCCTCCACCAAAACTGCTCGAAACTCTGGCGCGTCAGTAACAAAAAACGCTCGAATGCAAGTGCCTTTTGAGATCTGACAGGGTCCATTGCAGAGTCCATTGCAGGGCAAACGACGATTCGAGCAGAGGGTCTCCCGGAATTCCAGGGCTTAGATGAGTTTAGTTGTGACTGAAGATCTGGCTCATTGAAACGCCCTGTATACCTTTGCACAAACCCAGTCGGGAAGCAAAAACCTAAATACACAGTACATAAACCCCTAAACCACAAAATCCCTTAAGGCCAAAACCCGTCAAAACCCTCATATCCCATTAGTCCCCCTACTTCACAAGTAAACCTCCTAAACCACAAAAGCCCTCAATTAACCCCCTATCGACTTAAAACCCCAAACCCTAAAACTCCATATTCAACCACTAAATCCCCATAAACGCTATTTAAAACCTTAAACCCCTTCGAATCCCTACATCCAGAAGCCCCTACAAGCCCGCGCACGCCTTCAGCGAGGGGCCAGCTGGAAGCTCAGAGTGGCAGAACAATATAGGGGTTGGGGTTTCGGATTTGGGCTTCGGTTCTCACACTCCACAAGAGCTTTGGGGTTGTAGAGGGCTTCATAATAGCGAGGGTTTTGTGATTGGACCTATATTACCCTATAAACCCTTGCTACATCTTGCGTGGGCAATCGGATAGGGTTTTTGCTATAACTGTAGGGTTGGGGCTTGCGGTTTAGAGGGTTTGGGTTTTGGGTATCATAGATAGGGCCTTATTTTCGGGTTTAGGCTTACAGGGTTTATAGGGTTTGGGGTTTATATATAGGGGTATGACAGGGACAAGGATGCAGTGTCTCCTTGGCAGTATAAGACTCGTGTGTAGAGGGAATTTACCTGGGGTTTCGGGTTCAACTGAGGCTTGTATACATATATGGGGTATACCCGCGACAAAGATGCAGAGTCTCCTTGGGAGACTAATTTACTTGGGCTTGTGTAGAGGATTGATACTTCAGGAGGTATACACATTGTAAAGCAGCTACACGCCTGCCCGCCTAAAAAGCAACCTGCATGCGATTAAGTAGCGGTCAAGGCAGCGTCGGGATGCTAGTTTGGGGGAAATCCTCCGTGAAACCCTTGCAATTTTTCCTATCATGTCCTCATTGGCTTCACAATTAAAGATTGCAGCATAGTTCAGGATGCACGGGGTTTCTTCATCTTGCTCCTTGACCGCCCGAATTTGTTCCTGCAGGTCAATCAGGAAGTGGTGGTAGAAGTGCACTTTCGGTCGGAGCGAGAACAACCGACGGTTCTCGCTCATGGCTTTGGAAGCCAAAAACGCATAGCCTTTCAACAGCTTGAAACCACATCTCAAAAGGTACTTCGCACAGCTCTTGTGAATCAAGATGTTGTGAGAGCTGGCTACGCCCGTATAGTTCAGAGCAGCCTCCGCGGTCTGCAACATGGCCATTAAAATTTCATTGGAGCTATTGCGGGGCTCACGCAAAAGCAACTTGATGAACCAACGGAGCCACTCCAGAACGATCAAGGTGTCCGCTCCTTTTCCAGAAAGGAACGGGAACATGTTTGCCTTGTGGCGATGAAAATTCGCCTTCGTGAATTTGCGGAGGGAAGGCGATTTCTTGCAAGCCAGGCAGTACAAGTGGAAACTGCTGTGTGCCCTCTCCAGGCGTGTAGCAAGCGACCAGGAGTCGCCAGGCGAATCAAAGAAGCGAAGGTGAGCTAACCAAATGATACAGCTGGCGCATAGGTCTCGCAAGAAACCGTGCTTGAGAGTATGAAAGGCATCCCTCCTATAGAGGGTTGCCTTCTTGCTTTCGCTGAACGGGATCTCACTCAGAGGGGGAACCACTGACCATGGGTCACTAGTGTACAAGCTACTCAACCATGCAGGAGGGTCTCGAAGGTCAATTCCTGGCAGGCTCTCGTCAGAGCCTGCCATGCACTCAGGGCAAAATGCCTGAGGGTTGGTCGGGCCCTCATGGGTGTATGACCTCGAATAATTTGTCACTTCCAGATGATACTCAAAGTCGCCCTTCACTCCAATGAGAGCTGCCCGGTAAACATGTCCCTCACATTCCACCCCCTGATTGAAGAGTCCAGACAGGTCACTCTTCAATTCTTGCAAGTACGCAGGGACTACCTGAGGGTGTGCTTTCAGCATCTTGTTCGGGATGGCAGTGCCCAGAAAGCGGCTCATGTACACATGACCCCTACCGTTGTGTGGCATGTCAGGATCACCCAGCCTCCTACGCTTGAAAGGGCACCACTCATCCTTCACTTCTTCAGGCAGAAATTCTTCGCGGGCTCGGCGCCCACAGCTTGATGTCATGACGCCACCTTGCTCATGACGTGTTACTTGGGCACTCTTGGAGGCACGGGAACGGATTTCTTTTGACAACCCGAAGACTGCTTCAAATGTGAACACGAAAATGGGACTTTTTTGGAATCCTCGGCCCTTGTCTCCGTGAAGCGCCACGGGGACGATCCGTCCCCAGGCTTCCCTTTCAGGAAACTGCCTGAAGATCTCATGTTCAGCGTGGAACATTCTATACCCAGTCCAAAACCGCTTGCAAAGCTCCTCTGCACTTTCACCTCGCGGCAGACCTCCTAACAAGAGGGCTGGGTGGTTCCTGACAAGAAAGCCGAAAAAGTGAGACACTTTTAAGTACGGAAGAGTAGTCGGGGGCTTCCCTTCTTCTTCCTCTACTGTTAGCTCAGATCTAGCTACCGGCAGAAACAGCCCAAATCTACGTAGCAACCGCTGGCTGTCTCGCTCGGCGTGGCTTGCACTTACCTTTGTCGCTGCAATTGCGCTTGCTGAGGCAAGACCCCCTTCTGCATGGAATGCCCGAGCCAGCCTTCCCATCTCAGACGCTGGAGCCTTGGGCTGGTTTGGGGCATTGCAAGGGCTCAACCTATATAGGGCGTAGATGGGTTCCACATGGAAACCCTTCAGGTTATTCGGACAAGCTTGGACGGGTTTTGCGGGCATTTGCTCGTTTGAGGACTAGGTAACCGACAGTACTCACCAAATAGGGTTCTGGTTTGAGGCATTCCGTGGGATCTTTCTCGGTGGGAAGTCTTCGGTTTATAAGAGCCCCACATAATGACCTATTCAGGGCTTAGGACGAGCTTGGGCGGGTTTTCGGGAAATGCATGGGGAACCCATATACAGGGGACCATATACATCTATTGGACAAGGAACTCCGTCAGCCAGCTGTTGCGCCATGGCTTCCAGAGCCTCTGTCTTGGAAGCAGAATCATCTTCTTGACCTGGCGTTGCGATTACGTAAACCACTTCCTAGAAAGCCAGCATTCTACAACAGCATTTGTCGCCAACTTCAGTGATGAGCACGCTGTTCGATCAATTATGGGATCCTGGGACATGCCAGGATGTAATGTCAAAACCCAGACGAGTGCCGAGGCCTGCAACGCGAGGCAAGCAAAAACATCGACAAAATTGAATATGTATAGTGGTCTGCGCTGCAGGTTCTGGATAGCATCGCCTATACGGCCATGTGGGCACAAACAACTACTTCTTGGGCTTCTTAGCAGGCTGCTTCGCCCCTGCCGTAATGGGGGGCCGCTTATTCGGCTTGCCCTTCGGCTCAGGCGGCGCAGCTGCTGGCAGCAGACTCCTGCAGAGGATCGGAGGGGTGGACCACCTGACTAGAACATAAAGAGTTTTTTCCCATTCCTATCGTTTTGGTACCCCCCCCGCCAATGGCCCCCCTGTGGGGTGGTTCGGGCTTATATAGGGTTTTTAGGTGTTATAGGGTTTAGGGTTTAGGGGCGTAGGGTCCCCGCCCCCTGTGGTTTGGGCCCCCCTGTGGGGTGGTGTGGTTGGGGTTTGTGTTGAGGGTTGAGGGTTTATAGGGTTTATAGGGTTTAGGGGTTTAGGGGTTGAAGGTTTAGGGTTGAGGGTTTAGGGGGGGTGGGGCGGGGGGTGGCGGGGGGTGGGGGGGGGGGGGGGGGGGGGGGTGGGGGGGTGGGGGGGGGGGGGGGGGGGATACCATGGGGGGGGGGGGTGGACACGGAACCATATACCCTAAAAAGAACCCCGAGTATACTATAAAACAGAAACCCGATACACTGAAACAAACCACCCATATAATTTACAGGGGTTTATATCTAGAGGGTTTATATGGTTTAGGATTTATCTATGTATATATATATATGTATATGGGGTTTATAGGGTTTGTAAGGGTTTGGGGTTTGGAGTTTGCAGGGCTTACAAGGTTTAGAGGGTTTATCTATAGGGAGAGATATATCAGTCCAGAAAGACAAGCTATAAAATCAAGAGAGGCAAAGAGAGATATCAGTCCTGGCACGGGCTTCCATATCCCACGATGAAACCATCCTTTACTTGTGATTGACCAGATAACGCACAGCCTGCAGGTTGGTTCATCCAAGTGGCTTCTTCTGGCAAGCTTCGAAGGCAACACCAAGCTCCAGATGAATCCTTAAATATGTGGTCTGCCATGCATTCAGACATGCCCGCATATATAGCTACAATTGATACTGAGATTCTCCTCCCAGCCATCGACAACCCCTTTGGAATGCAACTCCTCAAGCTCGCTCAGCTGGCTATCGATAGCAGCATGCATCTCCTTGAGTCTGCCCACCATCCTTAATGGGGCTGGCGGAGTTTAGGGTTTATGGTTTTTAGGGTTTATAGGGTTTATCTTAGGGTTTAGCGTTTTAGGGTTGGTTTAGGGTTTAGGGTACACAAAGATACGGTAAGAATTTGCAAAACAAGGGTCTTCTCAAGGGTTTGGGTCGATCTGCCCTTCGCTTGGTTCTCTTTCACAAGCGTCTCTACGTCTTCGCAACACTCATCAAGCTTCTCCAAACGCTTGCTCATGCAAAGCAACACCTTTGGCAGGCTCGAGCTCCACGAGGCCGGGGACTCGATGCATGGGAAGCCTAGCTTCTTCAGGGTCTTCGCGGCCTCTTTCTCAGCGGCGGCTTTTGCATCCGGAGTGTCATTTGCTCTTGCAGCATGTGACATCTGGCCTTATATCAGGTTGCATCAGTCTAGTTGGGAGGATGCCCGGGCGGTAATAGGTTCAGGGCAATTCTGACAAGCATTATTCGGGATCCATGGCGCTTGGTGTCGGCACACAAGCTGCTGGCTGCCCCAGCACATCAACATCGACACTCATGTTGATGTCCACCATTCCCTGATCCTGGCTTGTAAACTCATCCTGCTCCACGAAAGCAGCTCTGCTCAAAGACCTTAGAGAACTGATAACCCTGAGACAATTTGAGGACAAAGTTGTGTACAAACGGGCTTTAGGGTTTCTAAGGTTTGTGTAGTGAGAGATTTATATAGGTGCTCAGAAATAACAAGTGACGCCAGGCTGCCTTGTGTGTCCTTCAATTTTCTTTTCGAGAAAATACGTGAGAGTGTTGGCATGAAGCGTGTGCCACCTGAACACGTTGGAGTCAGTCAGCCCATGCTTCCACCGAGAAATGCTCGACAGCGGTTAGCAATGATGCTTCTTACCTGCCTGATGTACTTGTCCGGGTTGCTTTTGCCACGCTGCACGATTCTTAGTATGTCTTGCCTCAGCTCCCCAATTCGCACGCAACCCTGCTTGCACCTTGCCTCGATACCTTTCAAAACACCCGACCCTAAACCCTAAACCATATAAACCCTATCAACCCTCAACTATCTAGTATAAACCCATTATAAACCCTAAACTCTAAACCCTGTAAACTGCTTCAGAAGCAATCATCCCTCTAACCATGCCCACATCTCGATTAATCAACCCTGCTCGCAGGCACAAGAGTTGTTGCAGCAGCCCGATCTCCGTTTCAGAGGCGAGCCGTGAAGAAGGTAGATCTTCATGGGTGGCTGTAAACGGGATAGTACGCGGAAGGAGAATATGGGGATCTATATACTACATATATAGACCACTGCGTCCCAAGGTACTGGCTCATGTTGTAAGGAGGCTCAGACATCTCTTGCTCACTTGCATACTCGAAGGGAACATTTAACAGCTGCTCCTCCTCGCGAGTCTTCGTGACCGAAAATCTCTTCACGAACACATCCTGCGAGAATCGGGTTTGTGTTTCTAGAGGGGGGTTGTAAAATGGTATAAAGGATCCCCCTCCAAAATGCGCCCCCATAAAGCTACATTCCTCCACGCACAAGCCCAAGAGACTGTGGTCGATATCTATAACCTACTACTAACTTATAAGGAGCTCTTTTCGGGTTTATAGATTTACAGTATTAAATAGGGTTCCTCTATGTTTAGGGTGTCTATATAGGTATATAAAGTTTAGGGTATTATAATTAGGTCACAAATTTGAACCCATGTCCGTGTTGAACCCGCACTTTTCGAAGAGCTTGACAACTTTCGGGCGGGTGGTCAAGTCATGGAACTGCTTCCTGATGTCCTCTGCAATTTTGTAATTGCCTCGGGAGTCTGGCTGCATTGCGCGTCGCAGGCGACGGTCTATTGCACCCGCACTGGGCGCTTCTTGCATAGGCACGCCAGATCTGGGAGCTGCGCCTGCCGGGACCGGCTGGGCTGTTATTGGGGCTGCCACGCTTGGGGAGGCTGCTTTGGCGAGCGTTGCGGATGCGGGTGCTGACCCGGGAGCAGGGGATTTTGGCAAGGCTGTTGCTGCGCCCGCAGGTAGCGGGGGCTTGGATTCCACGTTGGTCCGTGGAAACGGCGGGGGCTTGGCTGCACAAGCCTGCAGCTCCACGGTGCTTGACACGGCTTCTGGCGGCACTGTTGCTGCGCCCTGAAAGGGTGGGGGCTTGGCTGGGGAGGCCTGTGGCTCCACGTTGGTCGATACGGCTTTTGGTGAAGCTGTTGCTGCTGCCTGAAAGGACGGGGTCTTGGCTGGGGAGGCCTGCGGCGAGACCGTTGCTGCGGGCGGGGTCTTGGCTGCGGAGGCCGCTGGCTCCACGCTAGTTGCGGCTTTTGGTGAGCCTGTTGCTGCCTGGCTGAGTTCAGCGGGGGCTGCGGTCTGGATAGCCTGGGTTGTTGGCACGCCTGTTGGAAGAACTGCTTGGGGTGTTGTGGCTTTCGGCGGTGTTTCAGGGCAAGGCGGCGGGGCAACTTTGCCTGCCCGCTTCACAGGAATGAGGAGGCCCGTGTCAGGGTCTGTGGTTGAGGCACCACCATACTCACCTATGCTTTCGGAGGAGGCAGGAAACACAAGCAACGGGAAGCATGGCGCTTCCATTTCCTGCGTCGGGCTTAATGGCGAGGGACTTGATGGCACACCTGTTGGAATTTCGGCCTGCAGAGGTTGCGCTGTCGCATTGGGTGCGCGTGGCTCCACCTTTACCGTCTTGCACGCGTGCGC